AAATCGAAATAAAAATTAATCTACATTATAGTAGAAATGAACTTTAGGTTCATTTTTACCAATATAGATTAATTTTAATCCCGGTTTAATTTACTCTTTATTTTTTTCTGATTCTTAGAACTAAAAGAGAAAAAAAGTAAATTAAACCGAGATTAAAATTAGTTTCTAAATTTCTTGAAGTGAAATTCCAAAAGAGTCAAAATATTATCGATTTTTACACTCTTAAATGAGAGTGAAAAATTTTTACTGTTTTTTGGAATGAGATTTACCCCAAAAAAGATCTTTTTTTTTTTTTGGAATAAATCTCACTCTAAAAATGTAAAATTTCACTTAAAAAAGAAAGAGTGAAAATTTGTTACTCTTATTTAAAAATTTTGAAAAGCAAATTTTTCACTCTTTTTCAATAGTGGCAGTATTTTAACTTTTTTTGGAATAAGATTTCACTCCAAGAAATTTAGAAAGTATATTAATAGAAATGAACAATAAATAATTTTATTAAACATTTTCAATGTGTTTTTATACAAGCAAATATCGAATAGAAATTCGCACTGTTAAATGACGAAGGTATCGTATTACAAATAATATTCGGTGCGCAAATACCAACGGGGATGCGAATGCAACGGATGCATGCGAGCATGTTCGCCGAGTTAATCAGGATGCGACGTCATCGTTTAAAGTGTCATATTTCTCTCACTTCGAAGGGCGATATTTGCGCAAGTTCGGAACCGCGCACTTGGATATTAGTTTCATAAATTGTGTTGCATCAATTGAAATGTTCAATTTTTATAGTTTTTCAAATTTTTGTTTTTTTTCTCATGATGGTACAATTATACTTGATACAGATCGAGTATTGTCACATTGATTGTACTATATATTTTATAAATATAATTAGATACATATTTTTAAATAATTTATAAATAAATAATATTAAAAGTACTAAAAATAGTAAAAAACATATTAAAGGTAAAAAAAGAATAAATTAAAATTGAGATGTCCTAAAATCGATTATAACTATCTTATTTATTATTGATATTTAGAAGCTATATTATGTTTAGCTCGTATTTTCAAAAAGTCCAAAATAAGACACTGAGACAAGTTTATTCTCATGTTGAATTGTATACTAGAAATACAGAGAACTTGATTCTTTCTTTGAGCATATCTAAATTTTCACGTTTTATTGTATATGATTCGAGGAATTTAGCTACCAGTACAAAATCAATGATTTATGACGCAAATATAGAAAATCATGTCTCTTAATTTTTGTCTTATTTTTCGCTATTGCGAAATATCACATAAATCTATACGATTTCCGATGTATTAAGCGTATACATTACAATCATTTCATGTTTTTTTGATTAATTTGATATGTTATACGAGCTCAGAATAATAAGGATTTTTTTCTTACCTTTCTCTCTTTACAGATTATTTTATCAATAATTTATAAGCTTTATGCTGTAAAATTTGCTGGGAGATTTTAGCAGAAAAATTTCACTTTGCTATCCCGACCGACAGTTAAAAGTACGATATCAATAGTAGTCGACAGGAAGAGCTTGAGAACGTAGCATCTCGTTGAATATTTGCGGCACAGAGAAAAAGAGAAAGAGAGAGAAAGAGAGAAACATGGCGGAGGTTCCTCGTCGCCTTCGCGTAATTACGTCCAATTGAAGCAATTTAGACCAATTGAGCGTTAACAGGCTCAATTGGCGGGCTCCGACGCTGCGGGCAACACCGTACGTTCGTCGTTAAACGCTACGACATACCTACGATGTAAAAAAAATACGGATGACGTGTAGAAAAAAGAAGTCTACCGTTCAGAGGTCGAGCATTTGCGTCTCTCTGTCCGTTTCTCTCTATCTCTCTTGCATGCGCGTGTGTTTCCGACAAAGTTTCCTCTCATGATGAAGATTAGATTCAACCTCGCGTCTGTACTTGCGAAATCTTATGTGATCCACAAGAATTCTGTACTTAATAGAATTCACTTAGTATTGTTATGATATTAATTAAAGGATATTTTATGTTAAAAGATTTGTCAACCGTTAATTCTTATAACATATCTTATCTACATCAAAAACTTAACTTTTTCTTAAATTATAATTGTAGTAAAATGTAATGTCAAATGATTTGGTCAAACTCTAATACAATATTCCGGTTATTATTATTTTGTATAATAATCGAGATGTCTTTTGTAAAACCGGGGCATTTTATGAAATTATTATTAGCTTATGTACATGAAACTTATACAAGGATTATATGCAATAAATATAAATATGTAATTGTTAAGATTAATTTATAAGAATAATATGTACAGAATAAATTATATTATTTTTTATTTATCTACTATTAGTGCAAATACAATAGAAGAAATAAGGAATGATTTCAACCTCTTAGAAACTGAATATATTCTGATATATTTGATACATTAAAATCATAATTTCTTATATTCTTCTATTGTGTCTGTACTCTTATTCTTAACAATTACATTAGAAGTTGTCATTGTTCATTTTAAATATTCTTCAAATTAACGATTTGATATATTAAATTTAAAAAGAAACATATTTAATTAATACGTGATTTTGATGATGTCAATTATTTAATAATATTAAATTAAGCAAAATGTAAAAAAGATGTAATTATATTGCATATAATTTATAGATATCTTCTTTTCGGCTGTACTACTTTTTTTATTTTTAATAATAAGATTTTTATCTTTATGTGTTTATTATTACAATAAACATCTATTTTTTTCATTTATCACAGAATGTGTGTCGCAGAGTACAGCTAAAAAGAGAATAGACTTTAGAATAATCTACATGTCATCTATATGTATAACAATATCTGCGCTACGTATCGAGGGTTGATTTGATGGAAGCTGTGATGCGAAGAGGTGGAACTGAAAAGGCCGCGCCATTTTACCCCTCTTCGCACGAAGTAGTGGGGCAACGACGTATCATACTTGTCTTCTTTTCCTTATCTCTTTCCAGACTTCATCCAACCACGTCGCAGATGGAGTGGGGAGCATTATGCGTCTTCTTCCTTGTGCAATGTATGTATTCCACGTTCTTGTTCTTTTCCCGCGCTCCATTTGTCCACATCGCCAATACAGTTATTTGCAAAACCTTCGTGCAACAAACGGGCGATTTTAGCGATAATAACGCACACTATCCTCTTCTTTTGATGGATAATCAAATTCGCGATATGAAGATCAGAAAGCACGCGCGAGTTGCAATATTTGAAAAGCTAGATATAAAAAAGATTCAAAATAATATCAATCAAAATAATATAATCATCTCTTATAATTTCTTTTTTTTTTTTTGTTAAGTCTTGTTCGATGTCTCAATTTTTTAACATGAATATTTATGATCTGCGAATTATGACATTATGAGAACAATATGGAGTCTCGTTCACTCTTGATCCAATGCGACGCGACGGCTCGCATCCGGCGTGCGCTTCCGGTACGCTGCAGCGCAAAAAGCGCGGAAACGCGATGGCGGAATCACACCGCGAATCTTCCTCGGACTGTTCTTCGATTCACCTTGATCACCTGGTCTATTCGGCAACAGGAACGAACGGCGAACGAATACGCGTTATTTATGTAGGTCATGTTTGTACCTCGCGAGGAGCAAGATGGCGGGCGCGCGGATACGAGAGAAAGTCACGGATACGGAGGGTCAGTGCAGGAGGCTGCGTTACACTGCAGTCCGGCGCTCACCGGACCTTCACTTATATCGTCGCTCGGCTAATAACGCTAGTAATGTGATATGATTAGCTTAGTTGAGTTCAGTTTAGTTCGTATTCGTTCAATTTAGTGGTTCGCCAGCAAAATCACATCGAGTTAAACCCATTTAGGCCAGTTAAGTTACCGACTTCTCCTCGTTCTCTTGCGGTCGCCGCCGCCGCCGCCGCCACCGCCGCCGTTGCCGCGCATCGACCTCCTGGGGTCCTCTTCGACGCACAGAAATATCCCGAAACACCCTAAAACATCCCGCATGAGATCTGGTCTCGTGTTCTGCCATGAAATTGAAAATTAAGCCGCCGCAGGAGGTCTCATCATTGAAACACCTTGTTCACTAACAATGACTCGGGAATTGATCTTAAAAGCTTAGAAGTACAATCTAAGGAATAGAAGCCCTTTATAAGTATATCTAGTCTAGAAGAAGAATACTTTATATTTTATATTTTTTTTTACATCTAGACAAAATTAATAACTCTAAGAAATTTATGTAAGAAATAATGGTATTTCTAATAATTAATGGTATTTCTAATAAATAATTAATTTTTGTAAAAATAATTTAATATTTCTACAAGTTTTTGCAAGAAAGTCTATATGTGTACATATATAAATATATATATAAATTTAAAAAATATGTGTAAGTATAAATAATATATCTATAATATAAAAAATTTTATATTTTTTTTTAAAGTTTGATTCGTCGAAGTTGCAATGACAACAAGAGTTCCTAGAAATTAATTAGATATAACGTCTAAATGTTT